AAAAGTTTAACACACCATGAAAATAAAAGTCCTCTGTACCAGCAATAACCAATAACAAAGTGCAGAAATAGATCCCATTTGCAAGAAAAAAAAAAGCCAGCCAAAGTCATCACAAACTGTACCATTTATACTGCTTCCGTATGGAGAACAGCATGAAACGTAAATGAGGAGCATTAAAAGAACAAATCAAATTGGTTCGACATGCCACTTTCCTAGATGATAAAGCTCAGTACTATAAAAATTTATTCTCCTCAAGTTAATTTATAAAGTCAATATGCTCTCAATCAATACCCAAGCATGATCATATATCCCACTTGATACACTAATTCTAAGTCATCTGGAACACAAAATGAATGATAAAAAATGAGGGGGGTTTACTCTCTATAACTTTTTATACATTTTATTAAAATGTATATAAATTTTTATCTATAACAATTTATTGATTTTTTAGAGAGTAAGAAAGAGAAACATTGAGTTGTTGTTGCACTTATTATATATTCACTTGTTGATTCTCATATATGCCCTGACTGGGATGGAACCTGGAAAATACAACCTTGTAGTATCGATGTTACAGGAGAAATTCCCAGAAACTTGGTTCTTCTTGCCAACTCAGTAAAGAATTACAGGCCAGTGAGCCTACTAGTATGCAAGCAAAGTTTATTAATGCTAAGTTCAAATAGGAAAGCAAAAGCAAGGGTGGCTAGAGCAAGGGTAGCCAGAGGCCAGGTGACTGGCACCCAGGTGGCCAGAGGTGACAGAGGTGGCCAGGGGCCCCCAGCCAGAGGCCCCCTATGTGGAAAGAAAGCTCCAAGAGAGTCCTTTCATATATAGTTGGGAGGGTGGGGGTAAAAAAGTTATATATTGATTGACAGGTAAAGGTGGTACCTACTTTCCCAGGGAGATGTGACTATCTAAACGTAGTTATGGGTAGGAGTCTGTTAGCCTAAATCCTTATCTTGATCTAGAGTCTATTTGTTCATTTTGCATAAATAACAGGAGGCAGGCAGTTAACCAAAGTTGTTTTATGGGTTTTTTCTTGGGGGATTGTGGACCCTCTTCCCTTCCCCCTTCCAGCCTTTGATGAACACAGTCTCAAGGTTTCCCTTTTCCCAGCTAGTGAAGATGATACACACGGACTTTCAGGGACTCTCCCCTCTCCTACACTATCATAGTTTTGCTTGTTTGGGATGTCTGGAAGCCTTATCAGACCAAACTCAGGATTACTGAGTCAGTGGGTGAGCTTTTGCTTTTCACCCCCTGTATTAAGTTCTTTGCTAAATTACAATGGTGAAGGCCCTTCCTTTATTTTCCTCCTGGCCACTCATTCCACCTTAACTGGACAACACTCTAACCAACTGAGCTATCTGGCCAGAGCAATTTTAAAGCACATCATAAAGCTTGAGGGATTTAAAAATCGTGTGGTATTTGTGGAACTACAGAAAAATGAATTAAAAGAACAAATGAAGAGTTCACAAACAACCCCACTTAGTACACACAGCATTTTAAACCTGTAAGGAAGGGCTGAATTTGTCAATAGAAAAGTTGATGCAATGGTTTTCCATTTTGTGCGTGGGGATCTAAACCCCTACTTCCTCCCACTGACCAAAATAAAAATTAAAAACTACCTGGAAATAAATCTAGGTAAATTAAAGGGCTACATGGAAAAAAAAAAGAAAATACAAAACTATGAAAGTAGTAAAAGAAAATATAGGCATATATGCTGATACACTTCCAAAGGAAAGTATTCTCAAATAAGACATAAATCACAAGAAAACCAGAAAAAAGTAAGAACACCATAATGGTAAAGATGACCGATTAAGTTTGAACCCATCAAAATCTAAAACTCTAATAAATAAAATTAGAACAACTGAGTTTGAAAAAGAATGTTTGTAAAATTTATTAACAGCAACATAAGGAACTCCAAAAATTAATTTAAAAGAATAGTATCTGAAACACTTTATTTTATATTATTTATTTTTAGAGAGAGGGAAAGGAAGGGGAAAAGAGATGGAGAGAACATCAATGTGAGAGAGAAACATCATTGGTGGCCCAAAACCCAGGCATGTGCCCTGACCAGAAATCAAACCATGACTTTTTGGTTTGCAGGCCGAGGCTCAATCCACTGAGCCACATCAGCCAGGGCTGAAACACTTTTTTTACTACTATTTTTAAATTCGTAGATGAAAAATAGCCCCAAAGAAAAATTGGCAAAGGACATGATCAAGCAACTGACAGGACAGGAAATAAAAATGGCCCCAAAACATAAAATGATGCTTAATCTCACAGGTAATCAGAAAAATGGAAACTTAAAAAATGAAATGTTTTGCTCAACAGCTTGGTCATAATTAAAAAGATTAAAAACATCACGTGTGGGTGAGGGCACCAGGAGGGCTAATAGGTATTTTAGAAGCTGGTATACACTCTGAGGGCAACTTAGCAGTGGTTTTTTTTTTAATATATTTTATTGACGATGCTATTCGTTGTCCCATTTCCCCCTCTTCACTCCCCTCCACCCTGCACACCCCCTCCCACCCACATTCCCCACCTTTAGTTTATGTCCATGTGTCATTAAGTTCTTTAGCTTCTACATTTCCCACACTATTCTTGCCTGCCCCCTGTCTATTTTCTACCTACCATCTATGCTACTTATTCTCTGTAACTTTTCCCCCTCTCCTCCTCCCACTCCCATGTTGCTAACCCCCCATGTGATCTCCATTTCTGTGGTTCTGTTCCTGTTCTACTTGTTTGCTTAGTTTGTTTTTGTTTTTGTTTTAGGTGTGGTTGTTAATAATTGTGAGTTTGCTGTCATTTTACTGTATGTGTTTTTTATCCTCTTTTTCTTAGATAAGTCCCTTTAACATATCATATAATAAGGGCTTGGTGATGATGAACTCCTTTAACTTGACCTTATCTGAGAAGCACTTTTTCTGCCCTTCCATTCTAAATGAAAGCTTTGCTGGATAGAGCAATCTTAGATGTAGGTCCTTACCTTCCATGACCTGGAATACTTCTTTCCAGCCCCTTCTTGCCTGCAAGGTCTCTTTTGAGAAATCAGCTGACAGTCTGATGGGAACTCCTTTGTAGGTGACTCTCTCCTTATCTCTTGCTGCTTCTAGGATTCTCTCCTTCATTTTAATCTTGGGTAATGTAATTATGATGTGCCTTGGTATGTTCCTCTTTGGGTCCAACTTCTTTGGGACTGTCTGAGCTTCCTGGACTTCCTGGAAGTCTGTTTCCTTTGCCAGACTTGGGAAGTTCTCCTTTATTATTTGTTCAAATAAGTTTTCCACTTGTTGCTCTTCCTCTTCTCCTCCTGGTACCCCTATAATTCAGATGTTGGAACATTTAAAGATGTCCTGGAGGTTCCTAAGTCTCTCCTCATTTTTTTGAATTCTTATTTCTTCATTCTTTTCTGATTGTATGTTTTTTTCTTCCTTCTGGTCCACTCCATTGATGTGAGACCCAGCTTTCATTCCATCACTCTTGGTTCCCTGTGCATTTTTCTTCATTTCACTTAGTGTAGCCTTCATTTTTTTCATCTAATTTGCAAACAAAATCAACCAATTCTGTGAGCATCCTGATCACCAGTGCTTTGAACTGTGCATCTGATAGGTTGGCTATCTCTCGGTCACTTAAAAGAATCGGTTCTTGGGCTTTCATTTCTTTTTCTGTTTCAACCATCTCCATCTCCCTCTCTCTCTCTCTCTTTTTTTTTCCCCCTTTGGTCTGGTCATGCCTGTTATGTATGAGGGGCAGAGCCTTAGGTGTTCACCAGGGCGGGGCAACCCAGTAGCTGGGTTGTGATGCTGTATGTAGGGGCGGGGTCTGAGAGGGAACAATGGCGCTTGCTCGGTTCTCTGTGGACTTCAGTCCCTTCTGCCACTTCCCCCAAGCAAACTGGACCTTGCTAGTGCTGATCCCGTGTGGGTGGGCTTGTGCACCCCATGGGTCTTTCCAGCGACCTCTCCTGTGAGGCTGGGAGTCTCTCCCTGTGCTGCAAACCCCCACAGGTGTTTTCGATAAGTGTCCCAAGGCTCTATTTCCCAGCACTGGGATCCTGGGTTGTGCGCAGTGCCTTGCTTCACAATTGCTGCCTCACTGGGTCTGCTGGTTGTCACCCCTTGGCCGGGGTTTGTTGGCCACTGCTTGCACACCCAGGGTCTGCCCACTGCGGTCTTATGGGCCTGGTCCCAATGCTTTTTGTGCCTCGAGACCTCTCTGCACCCAGCTGCCCAATTCTGCCCCTCCTACTGGTCTGGACGAATGTGTCTATTTTAACTCCTTGGTTGTCAACTTCTATACAGTTCAATTTTCTTTCAGTTCTGGTTGTTATTCTATTCCTAAATTGTTGTTGTCCCTATCTTGGTTGTGGGAAGAGGCACAGCATGTCTAGCTATGCCTCCATCTTGGCTGGAAGCCCCTCAACATATTTTCTGATCTCTTTTAGTCTTCCCCTCACAAGTACCCAGTTCAGCCTGGCATTAGCATGTGCCCCTACCTATTCACAGTTCCTTCTCCCTTGCTAAATCTGGCTTCCTTTAAAAATATACACTCAAAATGTGTTGTTTAATGGGCACAGGGGTTAATTTTAGAAGATGAGTTCTGGAAATTGGTTGCACAACAGTGTGAATGTACTTACTACTACTAAAAAAAGTACACTTAAAAATGATAAAGATGGAACATTTTATGTTAGATGTATTTTACCACAACTTAAAATAATTGGAAGCTGATTTACGTTAAGACTTAAATCACACCATTCCCACTCCCCACATCTTCTGTAACCAGCCTGCTCCCTCCTCTGAAGCCCTGGAGCTTGTGGTATATCTTTACAGTTCACAAGGCTTCATCGTCACCCACGTTCTCACACTCCCAATAACTGTCCACTGGCTTATCTTCCCCTCCCAATTTGGCTGAAGCACCTTACTCAGTAAACATCTGCTATTGATTGGCCTCAGAAGCAAAATCAAAGTGCAAAAAAAAAAATGATAAATCATAGTAACTGCTTTAATATTAAAATATTTATTTTTCTAAAAGATCACACAAAAGTTGGGAAAGGAAAGAAAGATGTTAACTAGCCTGCATCAAGATCTGAGCTGACGAAGGACAGAGAGCTGCCTAAAGAAACTGGTAGCTGGAGCAAGGGGCAGAGCTCAGCACAGCCGCATCCAGGGTCAGCCAGGTTCACGGCACCACCAAGAGCAGAGGGGACAGCAAACTGCTGGCCCCAATCACCCTCCTTTTCAGAGAGAAAGCAGGAGATCACTCTTTGGACATGTTCTTGATGGTCTTGTGCTCCTTCATGGCCTTCTCCCACTCACTGCCGTTGAACTCCTCAATGACCACACTCCGCACGGTGCCCTCATCCAGGCAGTGTGGGGCAATTCCTGGAGGGAAGTGGCACAGAGAAAGGGGTCCCCAGGATGCGTGAGACCAGGTGCTGTACTGGGTCTGGGTCAGTCCTCACCTGCAGACATAGCTGTATTGCACAGGAGGCTTTCCGAATGATATACTGGAGTTTACAATGTCAGCCTCGGGGCTTATCATCCTCATCTCCTGGCTGGGGAGTGGGCTTCCTGAGCCAAGGGGTGGCCAAGGCCAGACTTCAGTCAGCACCAAGCTGAGAGCACAGAAGAGTAGAAAGATAGCCTACAGCGATCTTGGACTGACAGGCCTTTTCCAGGGCTAAAACAGGTAACTCTCTAAGCCTTAAATACCTCACATCAGTATAGGACATGACATTTTCCAAAAGCTTTTCCTGTGCCTCAAGGGAGGTGAAAAGGAGTTTCTGTGTGACACATGAGGAACACACAGGGGCTACTAAAGAAATGGGCCAGAAAGACAAGGGTGATGTGGGACTGCCTGCCACAGGAAGGTCATGACCACAGCTGTCCCAGCATAGCTCTGGAGGGGCTCTATACAGGGTCTAAGATGCCTCAGGAGCGTTCTCAATGCTGCTTTCCACTCAATTTGCCCTGCAGTTGGCTTCATTCTGAACAAATGTTTAAAGATTGTTCTCTCCCTCCAGATCCAAGTCAGACTTGAAGAGGGACTTGTGGTGGGGAGTTCTCCTGTTTGTGTTGTGAACTAACCAAAAATTTTTAATGGCATTATCAGTGCTCCTCATTTTTACTTTCTTTATCCCTTTAGCCACTGTTGTTAAAATTCCCTCCCCCTTTCCACCAGCCCACCCTCTCGCCATTCTTTCCTACCTCTCAATGTCGGCCAGGTGGCATACAGTGCTGGCAGCACCAGTAATGAGAATCAGGATCTGGCTGGTACCTGAATGACCAGAGCCAGTCTTACATCCCATTGTTTCAAAAAGGCTCCACCAAAGAGCTCTGTTCATCCAAAACATGCATGTGGAAAAGCCTCACCAAGCAGGAGGCCAGCCAAGGGTGCCAGTGCCCACCTTTCTCAGCAGCATGCCCACCCAGGGCGACCCCAGGCGACTGTGTACCCCTGGGCTATGGCCGAGGCCCGCACTCACCGAAGCCACCAGGGTTGGAGCGGGGTGTGTAGAAACTCTGCACACCACACCTCTTACAGAAGGTGTGCTGCGCCTTGTGGGTATTGAACGTGTACGTGGTTATGCTCTCGGCTCCCTGAAGGGAAACAGACAGACGGGTGCACTCTTTACAAAGAGATTTTTTTGGGGGGGTCATTTAAAAAATATATCTTTTAAAAGGCTCAGTGGGTTGGGAATCCCTTCTGTAGGGCTCTCAGGACAATGAGGACATATCCAATCTCCCAGAGACTAGAGGCTTCTCTGGGGCAGGTAACTGCCCACACGGCCTGGAGATGCATCAGTGCAGGTGGGTCCCGGACCAGAGAAGTGGCAGCTCACACCTTTTCTTGGGTCAGTTGCACACAGAGCAACTCAGCTTCGTGCCTTCTCTGGCCCATGGGAAGACAGAGTGCCCTGTTAGTGGCAGGCAGAGAAACGTCTGCTCCCTAGGGGCTGCGCTAAGGGCTGGCTCTCCCTGTCCACACACAGCACTGCTCAAGGTCTTAAGAAAACTGTTAACTGTATTTGAATTCATCTACAAAAGACAAATTAAGAAAAGAATATTTGCCAGACATCACAGACAGAGGGCTAATTTCCTAAATAGATAATAACAAATGGGAAATTGGGGAAAGGATGTGACCAAATAGTGAAAAGAAAAAACAAATGGCCTTTAACCTGTGAAATGATGTCTACACTCATAAACTGCAATGAGATACTTTTCAGTTTCATGGCCAGGGGAACAAAAATAAAAATGTTGTTTAACCCAGCACTGAGGCATATGAGGAGAAACATGCACTCTTGTGTATCAGCTGTGGGAATATAAACTGGTGAAATCTGGTATCTGCCAAAACTTTAAATGAACATATCCTTTAACACAGCAACTCCACTTCTAGAAATTTATCTTTCATTTAAAATTCCATATGTATCCAATGTCACATGTATACAGATATTACAGTACTGTTTGTAAAGGCTTAAGATTGGAAAAATTGAAAATGTCCATCAATAGAAGATTAGTTAAAGCAATTATGGGCACTCATAAAATGGAATATTCTGCAACTTTTGAAAAGAATGTGGTAGTTCTATTTACAAATACTAATATGGAATAATCTACAAGGTTACAAAGTTAAGTGAAAAAGCAAAGCATAAAACCATTTGTATTGTATAAAACCATTTCTATTTTTTTAAGATACACAAAAAGAGGAAAATAAATAAAATAAAAAATAAAATTAAAAAGGGCACACATGCTGGTGTGTGTGTGTGTGTGTGTGTGTGAGTGGTTGGGCTGCAGGCCTTTGCATTCCTCCTCCCTGCCACCAGAACTCCCTTGGAGCCTTGTACCTTCCAGAAACAGAGCTCCCCAAGGGGCCTGGTCTCACCCCATAGCCACTTCACCACAGAGAAGCAGCAAAGAACAATTGCCAATTGGTCTGGAACTATCCAGAGTTTTCTGAGCATGCACTTTGCCCCAAGAAATTACTGAGAGGAACTGGGAGCTGCCTCACACCCTGCTTTACCTCTTTTGTTACTGGAGGTCACCCAGTGATGTTCAGACCCTCATTCCCTGGTTATTCTGTGTGTCCACCAACCTGACCACAGCCTCCTGCTCCTCACTAAAATGCCTGGCCTGTCATCATCCAATTGCTATGTTCTCAATGTCTCTGGTCATGTCTTTGTGCCAAATCAGAAATCACCACTGTCCACCATGATGACAAATGTAACAGTCACATCTCTTGACCATTGTATTCTTATTCTTCCTAACATGACCTCTCAATGCCACTCCATCCATTTTGGAACACCTCCCCGAGGACACCACACTCTCCTGTTTTTTCCTCCTCTCAGGGCTCTCTCTGACTGCTGGCCTGCCCCAGGGCTCTGTCCTCAGCTCCTGCCCTCTGGCTACATCTCTGCCCAGCTGACTAGTCTGGCTCTATACTCCATCAACAAGGCAACAGCCACCAAACCAAAGCTCCTGCTCTGATCTCTCTCCACAAACCCAGGCTTTAGCACAGCTGCCCATTTCCCCTCTCTGTATAAATGTCCAATAGGCCTCTTCAACTGAACTTTCTCAAAACAGAGCTCTTCATTCCAGCACCCCCACCTGTGTCTCCCACAGGGTCTGGTATCTCTATTCACCTGGTCGCTTAGGCCCAACACTGTGGCTGTGACTGACTCCTCTGTCCTCCTCATCTGCACACCCAACCCTTCAGAGTTCTAGTCAGTGTTTTTCTAGAACAGTGGCTCTCAGAGTGGGGTCTTCCAGCCAGCAGCATCACCTGAACATGTAAGAAATGTAAATTCTTATCCCCCCACCCTGTCCCAAGACCCACAGGACCAGGGGTGGGGCTCAGCTGTCTGTTTTCAACAGGGACTGTGTACACATTAGGTCTGAAAACCACAGCTGTAACACATTTGTCCAGTTACCTATTCAAAGCATAGCTCCAATCCTCTATGTTCTTTCCATCTCCACGACCGCCATCCTGTTCCAAGCTACCATCACTTCTCACCCCAAGCTGTCCCCATCTCTGCATTCACCTCCTTACAGCCCATTCTCCACACGGCAGCCAAAGAGAGCTTTGAAAACACTGATGCAGGCTCCTCATGGCCCTGCTGAATACCTCCACAAGCTTCACACTACAGAAAAAATAAAATCTACTTTCTTGTCTGCTCCTGCCTCTCTCCAACTTGCTCTAGTCTCCTCCATCACCTCCACCCCACCAGCCGTGGGTCAGTTCCTCAGACACTGAGTCTGTGCTCCTCACACCTTCCACACTGTGTTCCCCTTGGCTGGGGCATTCCTGCACATGGACCCATCTTCACCATTCTGATCAGAACACCAGAGGACCTTCCTGACTGGTCTACACCAGCCACCTGGCAATCTTCTAGCATGTTGCTGTCCTTTAACTCCCTATACAGCACTACTGGATTTTTTCTTATTCGTTTTTTTCTGCCTCCCTGCTATAGAATGTAAACTCTAAGAAGGGCCTTGTCTGTCCTGTTAATTGCTGAGCTTCAGTGGAACAGTGCCTGGCACACAGTAGGTGTCCTATAAATACCTGTTGTATGAATAAGTTTTATACTTACTTAAAAAAAAACAACAAATATATATGTTTTTTTAAAAACTAAGTACTATATATATTTGTACAAAGTATATATAATATGTATATTTTGTTTATATACAATATATAAGTACAATATATAAATATATATTTGTTTTTAAAACGAAGTGTAAAATATATATAAATATATAACTATATATCATGAATCATTATACTGTATATCTGAAACTAATATAAATGTTGTATGTCAACTATATCTCAATTAAAATAAATGAATAAAAACAAATAAACAGCTGAAACTTGCTCCTTCAACAGACTGGAGCCAAAAATGAGAATATTGCTCTAAAGCACAAAAAAATACATTGATAAGCAGGACCATAAAGAAAAAATAAGGAAAAAAATATCAATTCCAAGACCCTAGAGTCCAAGGCTGCACTTGGTGGTGTCCAGAAACCATCTGTCCTGGGTGCTCGGGAGCAAAGGTGAACTGGGGCCACAGCCTCCAGCAGGCATCTCAGGAGAGCACACTGGCGGTCCTCTGGGCTTATGGGAAAGATGAGACAGGCATGCTGCCTGCCTGTCCCACCTCCCCTAACTGTCATATGGAGGATCAAGGAACTGATAAAGAATAGGACACAGGCCCTGGCCAGGTAGCTCAGTTGGTTAGAGCATCGTCCCAATGTGCCAATGTTGCAAGTTTGATCCCTGGTCAGGAAACATATAAGAATCACCAGGAGAGCATAAATAAATGAAACAACAAATTAATCTCTCCCTCTCTCTCCCTGTCTCCCTCTCTCCCTTTCTCTTTCTCTCTAAAAGCAATATTTTTTTCCATTTTTATTTAAAAGTTTTTTAAAGGAATAGAAGACAAATCAGCCCAAAGTATCTGGGATTAAGTCTCTCACTACCTAAGAAAGACCATTACTCACACATGCATTCACTTAGTCTTTCCTGAAAGACACTGAGTATCTCCTTAATGTCAAGCCTATGAGGTCAGGAGCTGTGCAGACCCGACAAATGATGGTGTTTGGAGACCCTCACAGTCTAGTAAAGGAGACAAACGTGGAAGCAGATGATTACCCCAAAGCACAGATATGTCAGACCACAATGGGGGCAACCAAGGGGAACCAAGGATGGAATGAAAGCCCCGCCTCATGTTAGCAACGGTGTGCCAAAGCCCTTCTAAAAGAGTGCCTACTGCTGGACCACAGATTTTATTTTTAAGAGAACTGAGCCTAAAAAAATATTTTCTAAATTATCAAAAATTTATACACAGGAAGATTCACCACAGTGTTGTTTATGATTGGGAAAAAATAGCACTTAACCTCTAAGTTCAAATACTGAGATTCGTTTATGGTAGATCCATATAACGAAACATGGTGGGAACACAGGAACAGTGGGGTGGGTAAACTCGGACACAGTGGGGGAGGAAGAGACTGAACAGTGGAGGGAAGACTTTTCACTGTATATATGGCCTTTTGTACCTTCCAAACATTGTACCGAGCACAAAAAATTTCCCACAATAATAAAGTTTAAAATATATTTTTCATTGGAAAATGCTAAAGCCAATTATAAAACAAAAAGAAAGGTAAAATCCTACTTTGATAAAAAAATATATAGATGTATTTATCTGTGTAGAAAATAATGCACAAAGATATACAACAAAATATTTTTAATGTTATTTCTTTTCTTTTTAAAGATTTTATCTATTTAGTTTTAGAGAGAGGGGAAGGGAGGGAGAAAGAGAGGGAGAGAAACACTGATGTGTGAGCAATACATCAACCAGCTGCCTCCTCCAGACGCCCTGACTGGGGACCAAACCCACAACCCAGGCATGAGCCACACCAGTCAGGGCTATACATCAAAATGTTAGCAGTGGTTACCTTTGATTGATAGGGTTTGGGTGATCTTACTTATTTGAAAATATTTCCTCAGTAATATCAAATAGGCATCCAAAATATAAAGGAAAAAATAATACAACCTTTTAAAAATAAACATGACACCTGGTGTCCAAGAAAATTAAAGCCCCAGAGCGGCCCTGCTGTGCTCCTTTCCCGCTGCACTCCAGGGGGTGTGCTGTCGGTGGGGGACTCACCCATGGGCTCTGCATCTTCAACCCTGCTCTTAGCACTAACCTTCAGGAGCTTGAAGCGAGAAGCAGGAACAATGAAGTGTCTATTTTGCTTCTTCTTGCAAACACTGCAGCTACAGAAAGACAGAGCAAGTCCCAGGTTGTGAACAGCCATTTGCACCCTCTGAGTGCCCGAGGGGCCCAACCTGATCGGCTTTGAGAGCCTGCTGACCCCAGAAGTGAAGCTCCTTTCAACACTATCCAGTGAAGGGGGAGCTCAGGCAGATGCATGGGCCACCTGGGGTCTCTGCCACAGGTCTCACAGCAGGCAGTTGAGACATGCAACTTTGGAAAACCAGGGCCAAGAGTGCCACCTTTCTGCCTCACCCACCCTGACCCCCACCCCGCCCTGCCTGCCCCTGGCTCACTGCAGTGAAGGAACCCACTGCGTTCTAAAGACACCTATATCCAGCACAGCACAGCCTGATACCTCTAGGGCAGCCACACCACAGGTGGACAAGGAAGGCTCTGTCTCCCTCTCTCCTCATCCACACAGCACAGAGAGCCTAGCTCCAAGGAAAACAGGTCCTGGGAATCGCCATCTTTGGAATTCAATCTAAACCACCTCTTTTCAGTCCACCTTCAAAAAAATTCTAATTTAGTACAGAATCTTCTATCTAGAGGATCCTCTAATCCTCTTGTATAGAATCCATGGTGCTGTCCTGGCCAGTGTGGCTCTGCTGGGCATCGTCCCACAAACTAAAAGGTTTTTAGTTCAATTCCAAGTCAAGGTACATGCCTGGGTTGCCAGTTTGGTCCCTGGTCAAGGCACATACAAGAGGCAACTGAGCAATGTTTCTCTCTCACATTAATGTTTCTCTCCCTCCCTCTCTTTGTAGAATAAAAAGAATCCATGGTGCTTCTCCAATCTGGACTCCACTCTTAGTAGCCTGGTCAGTTCCCCATTTGAGTAATTCAATGGTGTATTTTTCATACATAATTCAGGTACCAGCTAGGGGCAAGAGGTACAGAGGCCAGAACCTGTAGTCCTGGTTCTGTCACAATGCCAGGGCAGGTGCTAAAAAGCAGGCCCCCCTCCCCAGAGCCTAGAAGTGCTGTCTGCCTCACCTGGAGGATAGAGTGAGAAGGCCTAGAGAATGGAGAGCTCCAGGTGCACACACCCATTCATTTACCATCCTTATCCCCCCTACACTGAAGACTGCCCAAGGCGTTTCACTCAGTGCCCAGACTGACTGACCTCCAGCTAACCGCTCCCTCACCCACCAGCAAAGCTGTCTAAGGGGTGACCCTCCCTGGCACAAGCCATAGGACCCTGCTCTGTGTCACCTGGAAATGAGCTCTCTCCCCATGTCTCTCATGCACACACAAAATAGATTCAGTTATTTTTAGCCTCCATCTTTTTAAAAAAATGTTACTATTAAAACTTCTAGTATATGCTACAGGAGAAAGAATAGAACAATGAGCCCTTAAATACCCATCACCTGACCCCAACAATTACCAGCTGTATGTTGATTCATCTATACCCCAACCCCCAGCTGATGTTGAAGTTCTTTTCCACTAGCTTGGGAAGAGAAAACACTCACTTGCAATCAAAGATGTGTAAGTCTGCCGAGGCCCAGACTTCAAAGCGAACTGCTCCACAGTGGCAGCCTCCTGTGTGTTTCACCAGGCCCTGGTACTCACTACATAAAACAGAACATCAGAAGGGTAAGAATTCCTGAAGACTCCAGCAGGTCCCCACTGCGCAGTGCGTGCTTCTTCTCTCTTCTGTTGTGGAAAGAAAGCAGCAAGATGGACAAAACTCTTCTCCACATGACAACAGATGCCCCTGCTTTTGAGGAGGAACTGTGTGTGAATTCATAAAAGAAAGGTTTCGGTGCCTTCTTTGTCCATGAGCTTTCGGCTTATACGAGAACTCGCATGAGTTCCATGCCTTACATGTTAAATGGCAAAAGAGAGCATTCCAAAAATCTGGGACAAGGCAGGGTGGGAGCACTAGTGGGAATTCTAATCCCACCACTCAAACATTTTTATTTATATGTCAAATATTTACTAAAAATTTTTACAAACCAAGTGTACTGCACTGAAAAGAGCAGTAACCGACATACAGCAGGCATGGTTCCTGGCCTTGAGGGCCTTAGGTAGCCATCAAACAAATTACCCAAATAATATTCAAATGATTGTGATAAAGGTGGTCAGGCCGCAATAAAAAAGAAAGACACGGAGACCCAACCAAGTCTGAGGGTTCAGACAAAAGCCTTCTGAGAAAGTTACAACGGCCCTTACAATTTTGCTATATTCCCCTCCAGTATTTCACATATACATTATTTTTTGCAGAGGTAAACATACACACGACATACAACTTTAATCCTTTTAAAACTTACTATATATAAGCAAGCCCTTAAATGAACATGACTAAGATTTGATAAATATCATCAAAATGCTTTCCAAAACAGCTAGACACTCTTATCAGTCATCAATGAGAAAGCATTTCACTCTACCTTTCAAGTAATAATTATAGGAAAAACAGCTTGCCGTGGTTTTAATCTGCATTTATTTGGTTATTAAGACTACATGGGGGAATGGGTAAAAAGGTGAGGGGGATAGAGAGGTACAAACTTCCAGTTATTTTATAACTGGGATTTACGAAGCTGCTGCACGGGGAATACAGTCCACAAGAACCCATAACCCTGTGTGGTGACAATTACTGGACTTGGGTCATAAGGCGTACAAACGTCAAATCGCTATGTTGTACACCTGAAACTAAGATAATGTATATCAGTTATAATCTTTTTTAAAAATTTAAAGACTGAATGCTTTATCATGTTTCTTTACAAGCTGAATCAATTAATTTGACGTAAATTTTTTCTGCACATACAACTAATGCTTCCTGTAAAAACTTAAAACATCACAGCATGTGGTAACATTAAAAATGATGGTGAGTTTCGGTTTCTTATAGGTAAAAAATATTCAGTCTATAGTCCAAAGTGATAAAAAGTGAAGTACACAAAAACCCAAACAGTGTGTCTCTGAGGAGCAATTCTCACTAAGAGAATTTCTTCTGGAACAAAGACAAGGAGCATTTTTATTCAATTGGTAATCCTCAAGTTGTTAGGCAATTGCTAGGTTGTTCTTGTTTCCTCTAGGGTTTCAATTGTTCTTTCCAATTCATAAAATAATCGACACTGAGAGATATTATTAGGGAGCTAAAATATTTCTCTGTAGCACAGCTGTTCTCCAGAGCAGGGATCTATATGCTATCACATTTGGAGAAAACAAGGCCGACCTTGCCAAAGATAATATTAATAGCCCCTTCCCAACACCATGGACACTCTGTAACCCTCCTTTGGCCACCTAAGGAGCTGGAGGTGTTTTCCTGCAGTATCAAAGCTGTGGGAGCGCAGGGAGAGTGCGCCGCCCAGGAGCATCTGTGGTGGACAACAGAGAGGCTCCCCCACCTTAGAGACCCCGCCACGCTCCTGAATTCCAGCACCTCTTTGTGCGCGTTCTAATCCGGGATGCAGCAACCCCTCCCCGCCGCCCCGCTCCCTCCCAGCGAGCGCCTGGAACAAAAATGGGATCTCGCATCCCAGTTGATTCAAAACTTCTATTAAGCTTTTCTCATCCCCATACCTTTTCCCTCCCACACCTTCCAAAAACACCTGTGTAAATATAAAAAGCAACTCAGGTATGAGGAAAGACGTGGCATTTATCTTCTTTTCACTAGGAAAGACCCGAGCACCCTTTGACCGCCAAGGCAAGAGATGCGATGGCTGTCCAGGGAAACACCCTTCGTGTCCTAGGGCGCCGCTGAGACCCTGTACAAGATCCAAGGCGGCACCCCAACCTTTCCCGATGAGAAGCCCCTACTCCAGGCAAGGCCGCTACAATTAGGAACGAGCCTGGTGCCACCGGGGAAAGCGAAGCGATCACATCACGGGTAAAACACAGAACCTAAAATCTGCCCCAAACCCGCAAGTAGGCAGAGGCGCACGGCAGGCCCACTACCCGATTCCCCGGCTGAGGTTGTCAGCGTGGCCCAGGCTCCCCCGCGCCCGGCCCAGTAGCACTCACAAGGTGTCCAGCAGAAGCTTAGCGGCACCCTCAAAGGTGAGCTTCTGCCGCTTCTGGAACGTCTCCCAGCGCTCCCTCTGGTCGCCCAGGTCCAACGTGGCCCCTGAGGATGTCGGAGTCACCGGGGTCGGGGGCGGGGGCGGCGGCAGCAGCGCAGGCTCCGGCTCCCCCGGATCCGCCTCCTGGGCCAGCAGCGACTGCCTCGGCCGCTGCTTCGCCGACGACTTCCAAGTCGCCGCCAGGCTCCTGCTCTCCGCTTGGCCCGCGGGACGCCGTGCGCGGGTGGCACCGGGAGTCGAGGCAGCGGCGGCGGGAGCCCTTGAGGCCCCAGGCCTCTTCTGCCCGCGTGGCTCAGAGGACGCATTCCTCCTTGTCTGCCGCATGGCTCCCGCAGCCCCGCGTTTAGGCCTCACCGCCCGCGCGTCCCCGCTGCCCCGCGCGCGCCCTTACCCGCAGACCAACCTACACGCCCAGGGGGCGCTGCGCCCGCCAGCCCCGGCCCTGGCCTCCAGCTTCGGTCTTTGTCCCTGGCCTGCCTCACCTGGCTCCTCCCCACCGGCTGCGTACTAAACGGAGTCTCAGCTCGCCTGCTGGCCTGCCTGCTGGCCTGCCTCCGGGCCTGCACCTGCCAGCTGCAACATGCAGGCCGAACAAGACCGCGCTTCAGGCTCGGTTCCCGACACCCAGAACCTGTTTGCACCAGCAGAGGTGCCTCCGCCTCTGAATCCAGAGGGCTGCTTCTTTCCTTCCTGACCTAAGGGGTCGTGGGTCAACCCTGAATTCATAGCCACATCCCAGTGGGGAACCTGCAGTAACTTCGACTCCAAGACGAGGACAGTACTTAATCTAGAGCCAGCGTGCGCCTGAAATGAGCTAGTGTGTGTAAATGGCCTGGCACCGGCTACCTGCTGGACAAAGAGCAGCCGAAACCACAGTTCTTAAACTTCGCCTTTCCCACTTTACATGAAAACTCTGTGTGTGCGTGTGTTTTACAATTTATTAATTCTAAAAAAAAAAACTGTTTACCATGGACAACAGGTTTTTTAGAATTAATGAACGAATGAAACCCTGACCAAATTACATGATTATGGTTTTATTGAACACAACACCAAAGTTTGAAGCCAAAAATCACAAGAACCAGTGATGAAACCTAGATATTTTATTCATATATTCAAAGAAATAACATTTTCTCTAACTCACTCTCCTTTTTTGTTTTCTATTTAATTTCAACTTTCTTCCTTATTGTGTTTATCTTTAGTTTAATAGTTTACTGAATTAAATACATAATTCATTTATTTTCAGTGTTTTAGTAATAAAATATTAATAACTATAAATTTTCCTCTAATTATAGCTTTAGCTGTATCCATTAGGGTTTTATATGGTGTTCTCTAAGAATTTTCTAGATAAGCTGTCTTAATTGCTTTCTTAATTACTCAGTCATGAAATCAGAGTTGTCCAGATTTGTTCTTCAAGATTATCTTTGTCCTTCTAAGTCCTGTGCATTTCCGTAAAGTATGGAATCAGATATTAACTTCTACAAAGCAGCCTGCTTGATATCAACCATACTTCTCAGACCCTCTAATTTAATATTCCTAACTTCATTCCTTTAATTTTTGTTTTTGCCATGCCAATAGCTTTTTCTAAAGGAAATGTTTTAAATTTAAAAAGAGAGGTTTAAAGAAGAGCAAAGAGAAAAACAAAAATAAATAACTGAAAACAACAAAAAATAAAATGAAAATGAAAAAAATATTAAAAGAGAAAAAAAAGAGTTCCAAGAAATGTAATAGGACTCACAGCAATGATTATTTCTGAGATCTATGAGATTTGAAACATAATTATAAAAGGCTAAAACCAAAGAATTCATTCCTACATTTTCCTTTGTTAAAAAATTCAGATGATTTATCACATCAAGAAAGCTTAGCCCTGACTCCTATGGCTATTGGTTGTGCCTAGTCTGGCAAAGAGAAAGGTCACAGGTTGGATTCCTGGTCAGGGTAATCCATGCCTGGGTTTCGAGTTAAGGTTCCCTGTCAGCTCTCCCTCTCCATCTCCCTCACTTCCCCTCTCTCTAAAAATAAATAAATAAAACCTAGGAAGAGAGAGAGGGAAGGGGAGGGGAGGGGAGGGGAGGGGAGGGGAGGGGGGAGGGGAGGGGAGGGAGGAAGGAAGGAAGAGGGAGGGAGGGAGAAAGGGAAAGTTCAGGCTCTGGCCAAGTAACTGAGTTCGTTAGAGTATGACCCCCATAATGCGAAGGTTGGAGGTTCCAACCCCCAAAGCATGTACAAGCATTAACCAATCAATGCATAAATAAGTGGAACAACAAATTGATGTCTCTCTCTCTCTCTCCCTCCCTCTCCCCCCTTCCTCTCACTTTCTAAAATTAATCAATAAATAATAAATCTTTAGGGGGAAAAAATGTTACTGTGGCCACCACCTTAGTTGTTCTCTGAATCACTGCCCTTCCTCATGGTATGAGCACCACACCAAGGACAGAAATATGTCTTCATTTGGTGTCTTAGGGTTTTCCTGCATGTCTGTCTTGATTGCTCTATACTCAGATAATTCCCATTCCAACCTATCTATTGTCAGGTTCGTGCCAGCAAACACCAGAGGTCCAATAAATTGAGCCTGATATCACCTTCAAGTTAAACAAATATTGTGGGGAGATTTCTACCAGGATAATTGGGTATATTGGTTGTTGAAATGGCTTTGATAGATTTGACCTCAGGAAACTTCCTGGCAAGTCCACTGGCATTCTGATCGATCAGCGCACAGACGGGAATCCCTTGTTTTGTAAAGGTTCAAGATCACACTCAAGCCCTCTCCAGCTTTGGTAACTTCCTGAACACAATCCTTTCCTGAAATCTGCAAAACTTTTCCAGATTTGTCCTTCACTTCAGTTGCTTTCCATTCAGCCAGTCTCTGCTGCCTGTACATTTCAATAGTTCCTTGGTCTTCCTCATTAAATTTGTCTTTACTATCCTCCAGTTCTTCCAAAGTCGTGTCATCGTTTTCACAACTGACTGCTGAAGGGCTCGTTGCTCTTCCTCTTCTGCCTCCTTTTCCAGTTCATTTAAACTTTCCTTTGTGGGCAAGATGCCCTATTTTTTGTATAAGATGTCATTCCACTCACTGTCTGCCCTGGAGTTCTGAATTTTGTCTCAAATAGCTCGTGCCAGCCTGGCCGAGGCAAGCCCCTCTCCACTCCCCCTAACCCGCCGCCTGTACCAGCTCTCTTTTGCCCATGCGCCTATTCCTTTAATTTTTTTTTCATTCTTTCACTCCTCCTCAGAATTAGACCAACTAATATTTTTCATATTACTCTAGTTACTATTTGATGGAATCAGGTCAACTTAATTCCTAGAATCATACTGTTCAGGCACATACCTTTTTAGTTGCCTGCTTGGGTTTGGGGTGTGCAATAACTTGATTCAGCTGTTTTCTTCACTTCAAGCCAATTTAACAGTATAATACCTTTAAGATAAAATTCTAATTCATGTTTTCCATTTCCAAATCAGGCTGAACCTTACATAGACTGAAGTGTTTTTACATATATGCACAACTTCACAACCACCACCCAGATCAAAACAGAACATTTCTAGCATCATAAATGGGTCCTTCGTCCTCCTCCCAGTCAGTCCTCCGCATGGATGCCCACTCTTGCTTCACCACCATGATTTGAACTTCATATAAATGCACGTATACAATATGTACTCTTGCGTATGACTTTAGTCAGTGTCAGGTCTGTGAGTTTCATCCATGTTGTTCATGTACCTATGGTTCATTTATTTTCATTGATGTGTAGTATTTCAGTATATGAATATAGTACATTTTATTTATTCTTTTTATTGTCAAAGGACAGAGTGTTTTCAGTTTTGGACTATTATAATAAGGGTGCTATGACTTTTTTCAATCAACCATTTTATTTTCCTCAAGATCTTGTGTGACAGGAAAGAAGGAAGAACTGTCCAGCCAAGGAAGAACTTGGCTGGACAGTTCTTGCTTGGGGTCTCTCATGCAATTTCACTGCGATGTCACTGAGACCACGGTCATATGAGGTGGCAAACGGCTGGCCCTCTAAGATGGCTTCGTTTCCATGGCTAACAGTTGATACTGGCTGATAGCTGGGAGATCCATTGGGCCCTCAACTGGATTACTACCCCGAGCCTCTTCATATGGCTTGACTTCCTTGGGTAGCCTCAAGAGAATTGACTTTTTTTTTTAATAATTGGCAGCTCAGAGTGCCAAAAATGAGAGACCTACTCTACAAGATGGAAATTTTGCCATTGTGTTTTTGTTGTTGGGTATTTTTTCTTATAAAAATTTTAAAATCTGCTGGGATTTGGGCTTGAAGTTGCATTGAATCTGTAGATCAACACAGAGAGAACTGACTTAACAGTATTATGTCTTCCAATCTATAAATATATCTCTCCATTTATGAAATCCTATTTAATTTTTCTCAGCAATGTTTTGTAATAAATGTAATATCTTTTGTTATCCCTAAATATTTGATATTTTGTTGCTAAAATTGTATTTTTACATTTTATTTTTTCACTTGTTTGTTGCTAATACATAGAAAACAATTGGTTTTTGTATACTGACCTTGTACCCACTGACCTTGCTAAATTCACTTTTTTGTCCTAATAATTTTAATTTCCTCTTAAATTGGCATGTTAAACTGTTTCCCATTTCCAAGCAAATTTTTAAAAAAATCTTTTGGTGGTTGATTTCTAATTTTATTGAGCCATGTTTGGTGCAAAACATCAATGACTCCTACATTGTCTTCATAGATTATATAAAATTATGAATTTTAACTACAAGTATGGAAAGTATATATTTACATTATACATAAACATTAATATTATGTGTTTTATATAGAATAGTCTCTTAGCACTTTTTAATGTATCTGGCCTTGATTTCAACTTTATCTCATGACAATACCCCATTCCTGCTTTCTCTTTGTATTTATATAATCGATAGCTAACTCTATCCCTTTGTTCTCATTTCTTCTTTAACTTCCAAATGCAAATGATCATAGGTGGATTTTTAATACCTCAATATATCTTTTTGTTTTTAAACAGGGGAATTTAGCTCTTTTGCAATTATTAGACTGGAACCTTTCTGTTTTTGTCTGTCCATTAATTTATGTTTATTTTCTACTTTACCTTGATGTTGATTCTTTTTCTTTGTATTGGCTTGGGAAAGTTTCTCTTCACTCCTTTGTTGCCCTCCTGTTAATTTGGAAGTTCTAATCTGTCTCCATACTGCTGGTATTTCTCTTCCCATACCTAGTAGTTATGATGAAACCTGTATCCTTCTACTAATATTTCAAAATTGACCAATAAACATGTTTCCCAAAACATTTCACCTGCTCACACACCTATCCCTTCACCTAGATATAATTTTAGAAATTGTTACTTTACTTCCCCACTTTCCTATAGACCCCTATGCCCAACTCCTCCAAAGCATATCTTCTATATGAAGTCTCCTTCCTGAACATTTACACCATGTATTCCTCTCTCTCTCTCTCTCTCTTTTTTTAAGATTTTA